GTATATCAAAAGGGTGTGTAACCATAATTCTAGGTCCTCTCCAAACGTCATTTGGAACTGTTCTCGTTGCCCAGTGCTTCTTCCATTCATTCATCCACCTGTATATGCTCCGTGAATAACATCTCAATTGCGGTAGGAGTAGGGAGACGTGGTTCAAACGTCCGGCTAAAACCTTGGCGTCATTAAATCTGAATTCCGCCTTATCTTCTAAGAACACTTCAATTTGTTTCTTCCTAGCGCTTAACTTATTTTCCGGTAGCCTTACGGATCTCGTCTTTGCATTCCAGATAAAACCAACGAATTTCTGTTCATCTGGCAAGTCTGTGCACTTCTCCACACTAGTCGCTACGCCAAGGTTCACCGATCTTAGAGTTATATCATCTGTGAGCCTGGGTCTCAAAAGTGACAGCAGGACACAAGGATGGGGGGCAAAACTAGAGGTATTTCTGAGGGATAGGGAAATACAACTAGAAGGAGAGGAAAGGAAAGAGAAAGAGAAAGAGAAAAGAAATGAATAATATTTTTGTTGTTTATTTATTTTAAAGTCAAGTCCTAATGCAGTCTTACTTTCCTTAAGAGGATGGCTGTTATTTTAGCGGAATAAATCTACGCCTCCTAATCAAATGAAACTGAGAAGGGCTATTGGTATTGATATGTCAATCCAACCACTCTTTTTTAGATCAAAGATCAAGGTTCTTTAAAGGGAAACCTATATGGTTTTCAGTTATACCACCAAACAAAGAATAATGATGACTTAAAGAAGACTTGGATTGATGTGATGATGATGGAGGCAGGTATTTAGTAGAAACAGAATGAAGGGTTCCTTCAGAGAGACAGAGAAGAAACTTAGCAGAAAGATGCAAGCTTGACTTGATGGAATGACTTACTATTTGGTGATCCTGAAACTGAGAGTGGGAAGATTCCAAAGAGTAAAGGACTCCAAACAATAACACGGCGATGATACGGCGGTGAATCCAAGTTGAGGTATGCTGGTTTTCTGGTCTGAGTTGGGTTCTGGGTGGGTCTGAATCTTTGAAGATCCTGAAAATGCGAACTCAGTGTCTACTGAGAAAATTTTCAGA